ACACGGTCTCCTCCAGGATGCCTTTTCTCATTGCAAAAGCTTTTTTTTCGTGCTTAACGTCAGCATCTCTTCCTACCGTCCAGAGCCGTGACCTCTTGGCCTGTCTGGGGAGAGGGGGGGCACAGGGAGTAATTTATTCCCTCCGCCTCTGCAGTCACCTTTTCTCTATGTGAAGTCTGCTACCACACTGCATTTCTGTCTCTTCTTCAGATAAAATAGCTCTCACCCTTTTGATCTGTCCTCGCAGGTCACTCTTTTCCAGCTCTCTGACCACTTTTGCTGTCAGGTAACCAAGCCACAGGCTGTCCTGGCTCTTAGAAACTCCTGCCAGTCCCTTAAATTATGTTTAGAGGTGACTGAGACAGTCAGCACTGAGCTCAGGGGCTTTTGTCCTCCTCAAATCTGCCTGGCTTGCCATGGGTGGCCCCTCCACACCCAACCCAATGTTGCACCAACCCAGCCCAAAAATGTGAAGAGCCTTGCGGTAAGAACCATGCACAAAATGCCCCTTCTCCATCCAGACACCTCCAGGGCAGCCTGCAGGTCCCCGTTTGTCACCTGTCCCCATTAAGGCACGAGGCCATTAGAAACAGAATGGGTTTTTGGCTCGCGAGCCCTGTGGGGACCCATCAGATGACTTGGCTGAGCAGCAAGGAGACCACTTCAGGGCTGCGGCGCCGCCAGCAGCGCAGAGGTGCAGATCAGTCCCTGCCGTGCCCGGCGGTGCGTGTCACCGCTCTGCGGCCCCACCGGCACTGCTCTGCGCCGCTCAAGCAGCAAGTCAGGGCAGTTAGACTGCAGCGCACCCCTGGCCAGTGCTAATTCTTCCTTAATTAAGGAGCAGCCTTTGCCAGTTGCGAGCATCGCCGTGTTAACTCAGGAGGGACTCCAGAGCAGAGCACTGTCCCAGTTAAGCGAAATATATTGTGCTTAACAGCTGAAATAAGAGGAGGCCCCAAATGATTAACACTTTGCCTGCTGCTCTCGCTTCCCAGCCTCTGGGACACGCATCAAGATGCTCAAGGCTCATCTTCCAGCGATGGGGGATTTTGTAAAAACCCAGACCCTGTCTCCAAGGTACCGGTTCCAAACATCACAGCCAGAATTTTTAACAGCTCTTATTTTCCCTGGAAATATTTTCATATGATGCAAGAAGTTATATTTGGTTCTCAAGCCCTCCCCCACCTACATACACATAGCTGGGAGCTCCCTTCTACCTCCAAGTCTTACTATTTTGGTGCCTCCTGGACAGCCCCAGCTCTCAGATTTGATGATTTTGGGGGAATTCCTGCTTTTTTTTTTTGCTTTTTTTTTTTCATAGTTGCCTGACTCTTACAGCTGAAGAGAGAGCCTTTAAAAGGCCATCCCAGGGAATTACAAGCTGGACTCCACAGGCATGCCTGGCTCAGTGCTTTTGTCCTCCCAGGGACCTCCTCCCACACCATCCCCTGATTCTCCGGGCAGGTCCCATCCCTTGGACCTTTGCAAACTTGAAACCTGCGTGAGGATTTCACACTCCCTTCTGAGAGGAAGAAAGCAGAGAAGGAGGCTGTCCCAGTTGCTTGCTGGGGTTGTGAGTGGGAAGGGAGGGGTTTGGGGTGCTCTTACTTCCTCTCCTCCAGGTTGGAGTTGGGATTCTTCATCTCCATTAATGCGCAGCCGAATTTCTACAGAGAAGAAATAAAAAAGAGGCCATCAGTATTGCCAGTCTCTCCAGGAAACGGAGCAATGACCAAAGCCTGGGCTGTGGCTCTGCTCTCTGCTTGCTGGTCCCAGCAGCCTGCAACGCTGTTGTACAGGACTGGACGAGGTCATAGGTCCCCAGCCAAGGGGCTGGCACCTTTTGTGTGACACTGACCTCGGTTGCACAGGATGAATTTAGCCACAGGTTAGCTACTTGTCTCACAGCAGGGAATGAGTAAATATCTCTATTTCAGAGCAGGCTGGAGGCAGGCAGGCACAGCACCAGGTATCGCTCAGCACCCGGACTTGTTTTGGGCCATTCCAGCTCAGGCTGAGCAAAAAGAGGATGCTCCTCCCTGTTCCCTACTGCCTCTGCCCTGCCCACATCCCTGCTGCAGTCACCTACCCCTGAGCTCTGTCCTACCTCTCCATTCTCAGGTGGGTCTCCGTTGCCAAAGGTGCTTGTGACCACCAGGACCATGGTTTCATGCTCTAGGTGCACGATGTCATACTCGTCCATGGACATCACCTGGGAACGACAGAGATGTTAGCAAGAGGCCCTTGGTGGGGAGATCTACCACCAGCCAGTCTCCGGGGATAGACCCCAGCCCACCTGGGGGTGGGAGCAGCATACCCCTGCTGACTCCATGCCAGTGCACTAGCAGAGATCTCCACACAGGGAGGGTGAGAACAAGAGCCTCAAGGGCCATGGACAAACCATGGGGCTACCACCTGAGAAGCGGTAGACCTATGTATGCTACAATGCCTACAGGAGTATTAGCTGGAAATTAGCTGGAAAAACTCCTGTGCAGGCTTCAATCCAGACCCATAAGGTCATATCCTGGGAGCTGTTGAAGACCCTTGGCAGCTGAGAAGCTCCACAAGCCATGTATTTTCCAACAGCCATGTATTTCCTTGGGCCACCCAGATGTGCACATCATCTTGAAGGGGCTGGGAGCTGGTACAATACCTTGGCATCAAAGGCGTGCTTGAAGATTTCACACAGAGTTTTTGCATAGACCTGTGACTTCCCTGTTTCAGTGGCGTACAGGATGGTCGCTTTGACCCTCTTGGCCATGGCCTGTCCCATCAGCTTGGCGGAGAACTTCACAGCTCTAGGAAGCAATAATAAATCCCAGTAAGAGAGCTTGCGTCCTTCTTGGTGCCGCTAGCCCAGACTATGCAAACCATTTTGTTTATTAAATTAACAGCCTGCCTTAAAAACTGCAGCATCTCTTTTTTTGTTGTTGTTATATGCCAAACAGGGAAGCTGTGGAAGAGTCTGTCTGCCTTGACTTGTCAGAGAGGAGACTGCGTGGGGCAAGGGTGGGGCTTGAAGACAGAGCTGAAGTAGCTGAATGGGTATAGGGAGGGAAATGCTAAACCAAGTGCGGAGATGGTCTTTCTGCAGGGACAGAGAAGCAGAAGAAGAACGAGAGGCAGCTGAAAGCAGTGACCAGAAAACCTCAAGAGGCAGCTGAAAGCAGTGACCAGAAAACCTCAAAGGAAAAGCTGGAGACCAACCAGAGCCCAAGCCACAGGAGGAACAGTGGCTTCTCCACCTCTTCACATCTTTAAACCCTGGCTGCCTTTCTGCAGGAGATGTCCTAGCCAAGCAGAAGTGGCTGGGCTCCACACATCACATACAAAGCCGTGAGACACCGAGAAGGTCAGACGAGGCTGTCTGTAGTGCCTTTGATTTGCACTGCAGCGACGCTATGAACTTTACTCAGAGGAACAGCCCTCCTGAGGCTGAGAGGTTGCACATTTATTTGAGCGTTTGCAGGGCTGTGTCTAGCCGTCTGCCTCCTGTGGCTGCAATCGTGACGGGAGGTATTTGCTCCAGTTTTCCCCACTGGCTCAGCTCTGACAGCAGGGCAGAGGGGCTCTGAGAGGTCACTGGCCTCTCTAATCCTGGCCAAGGTGGTGCAGCACTAGAAACACTGGCTCTTTGTCTATGCTAGTGCTGCTGGCTGGGTTGGTATCAATGGGAGCACAGCGATGGGGGACAAGGGAGGCTGTCATGAGCCAGCTTTGGGTCGCACAGTGGGGCAGTGGGGCAAATTTGTTGGTTTAGGGCCATTAATAATCACATCAATATTATTTTTCCTAAGTGCAGAATATCTTCACCTTTTCTATATGAACTATCAAGCCTTTAAATGGGGCCACCAGAAAGGCAGGTCTGGATTTAGTCTGGTGTGTTGCAATAGGGAAGGGGCGTTTTTTGCAGGGGTTGAGAGAGCATAGAGCATCTCTGTGGCTTTTGCAAGAATAAGGGCTGCTTGAGTCACTTCAACAGGGTGGTCAGACCCTGTCCTGGGTGATCAAGTTCAG